TCTTTATAGTGAATCTCTTTGAATATCTCTGTAGTTTTCTGCCCTACACAAAACTTAGCACAAAGAAAAGTAAAAGGTCATTTGCTCAGGTTAAGAGTGGGGCTCACACTGGGGGCTCACTGGCTATCTAGTTTCCATTAAAAGCACTGGAGCACACTTCAGAGTGCTTCACAAGAAAGCTTACAAAAGGTCAATTCCTCATTTTCGTTTCTGCCAAAGATTCTATATTAAACATTTTCCCCATCAGGTCAGCGGAAGAATCTCATATGGAATTTTATTTGCTCCAAGTTTGCCAGCAAAAATCTGATATAACAACAAAAATATATCAAAAATTGATAAATCAATTGTCATAGTGAAATTTCTAGCTTTAGAAAAGGACTCTAATCCAAACCATGTTGTTCATTTTCAGATAGTTTCAAGCTAACAGAAAATGCTTTCAAGTGTAGATTTTAGAGTGTGATCTGAAAAATGGAGCATAACAATCTACTTTAATATGTGTAAGGCCATTCAAAAACATTTTGTTGTTTCAATAGCCAGTGCAAAGGCCTCATTGATGATAGAAAGAAAGAGAGGAGAAAAAGGAAGGGAGAAAAAGAGAAAGAAAGGGAAGAAAGGGAGAGAAGATACCCAAGCCCACGCGGGGCCCTTCTCCCCATAGCAATGCTGTCCTCACCACACCTAACCTCCTACCCAATACTGTTCACTTCTGGGGTAAAATGGCGGGAAGAGAGCCAGACTTCCTTCAGCAGTGAGCTGATTGCTGCAGAAAAATGAATCTTTGCACACTCGAGTGAGAAAGTATGAAGAAAGCACTTTTCCACTAATTAGGGCCCATTTTCAGCCATTCATTAAGCCGTGGCCCTGCGCCATGACCTATAAGGAGAGGAGCACGGGGCCAGCCCGAAAGCAGAGCATGCAGATGGAGCATAATGATGTGCTCCATCACCCAGACAGGCAGCCTGCGCAGGTGAGTGGGAGGCTCCGGACCCAGGCCGCCCCTGCAGAGAGCCCAGCAGGGGACAGGGAGGGACCCATGCTGGCTACTCCAGGCCAATCCATGCAAGCACAGGGAAGACCCCGCGTGGCACTCACCAACCACCTCTGGCCCCCAGGCCAAGCGAGAGCTGCCTGTCCCACACAAATCCAGACTGCGAGGACCCAGGGGCTCCGTGTCCTTCTCCTCCTCCTCCCGAGAGGTTCCTCCTCTACCTTCACACTTCACTGGGGCTCAGAGCAAGTGGAACCACTTGCCAAATATGCAAAAAAGGAGGGAAGATGGTTTTCTCTCAGGAAAACACAGACAGGAAGGGAGCCTGCTCTTCCTGTCCTAACCAAAGCGAGTTCAGAAATTATGTGGACGTCTGATTTGTCAGGCTTGTGGTGGAAAGGGTGCTCTTTTAGTCAACAGGAATTGTGAGTTCCCCAAAGGCAGAAATGGCCATGGCAGAAAAGAAATAGGGCAAAAAGCCTACAACGGGGGACACAAGTGGCCCCTGCACCTGTGACTTGGGGTTTTTACCATTTTTAACAGTTCATCGCCAGTGGCTGGCTGAAGACACCTCTGGCATCTCTCTACCTGTTAATCACAGTCAAACATGAGATGGAACAATGTCACGGACACAGTCTGGCAGTGGCCTGTGTAGGCCTCAGTTGCTCTTCTGTCAGGGCTCCTCTGCAGTAACTACAGGGACACAGCCAAGCAGAGCCAGGCACTCACCTCTTCCCTTAGAACTTTCACAAGCCTTTTGTTTGCTGTTACAATTCACCTGTCACATGAAGCACTTCACCCTCAGTGTTTCAGAATACCTTCAAAATATGTGTTACAGTATCATCAAACATTTAAAAACGGTATCAAGCAAAAACTCTTAAAGCAATGGCACTGAAAATCTAAGGATAGAAGTCTGTATTTCAGGAAATACGGAAAAGTAACCTGGGGTATGAAGCCACTTATTAAAATGCAAAGAAATAGGATGAAGCCATGGTCCATAGGAAGACGCCAGTGTGAGTGAGGGAACAGCAGCACAGTAAAAACTGTTTGGTTGCTGTTGCTATCGTTGGGTTTTGGGTGCCTATGTCCCAGACAAACCCCATTCCTACTTCACTGCTTAACTGAATTTTAAGAGTGTGTGTGTGTGTGTGTGTGTGTGTAAGAGAGAAAGAGAGAGAGCCAGATGCCCTCTGGAGCAAAATAAAACAATGTGTCAAGATGTGAAATGAATTCATGTTCTCCTCTTAAAGGATGGAGAACTTGTTGCTTTTATATCTGGTATTATCTCCCAAGAAATGGAATGATTATATGAAATAAATAGCCCCGAAGTCTCTATAAATATAAGAGAGCAAAGTTCACTGTCAGGGCAGGCGCTGCAGCAACTCTCGACATTAAAAGCAGGAGTCACAAGGCCCCCAAATGCTTGTCAGTCTTAGGAACAGAGGTGTCAGAAGACAAGGGTTTCTAGAGAACCTGAAAGGATCCTGGTTGACTTTCTGTGAGCTGGACTCACTTACATAAATCTCCCTTAGGATACGACAACAAGAAGCAATACTTATTTCATAGCGAAATTATTTCATAATTCCAAAGATTAAAGGAGGAAAAAATTCCACAAAATGGTGCCATCCTTGATGAATTCTTTATTAACTGCAGTTAACATTACATGAATACACAAAATTAGAAAACACCCCAAATACTAACATCATTTATCTCTAAACTCACTCTTACAAATAAGAAATCCATTTTGTTTTAGCAAAAAGTTTAAAAAGGGGGGGGGGCTTTATTACTCAGGTCAGGTCTCTTTGACGTTAAAACTCTGTCCAACACAGTCCCATGCCCCTCTCGCTCCATGCTGTGTGTGTGTGGTGCACATCTGTGTGGGATTTCTTTATTTTTTTTATTTATTAATGACTCACAATCTTAAGAGATGAGTGTGTGTGTGTGTGTGTATATAGAAACAGAGAAAGAGAGAGGACTCTCAAATTTCAAAAGTTTTGACATTCATATTGACAACATTCTACCATACTAACCAAACATGAAACACACAAATCCAAATTAATATAAAAAAGTCTCCAAAGCAAACAGCCACTATTCTCAAACTCAAAGCCTCTAGTCAAGAAGAGAGACAACAGTGCCTGAAGCTCGGCTAGGCTTTATACCTGTTGGCCAATACGTTCATTGTGATGTTAATTTTTCAACAAGGGAAATGACTACAAACACACCTATGGTTGATCTCTTCAGGAGACCCTGTACAAGCTCTTCAAAGAGCCAAACCTAACCCATCTTCACTTACTTGCGGCCCTGGGGTCTTATATAGACCATGATGCTGGGCTATTACTGCTCCCATGTTCCTGAATTTTAAGGGATGTGTCTCTTTCCAAGATGTAACAGTCTAATCAGAACACTGATGAATGAAACAAACACACTGTCCAGTTTTTAAATTTCTTCCTTCAACTCTCACCATGAAGCAAAGAGGAAGAAAACCTGACCATTTAACTCAATAAAATGTTTTGGTCACCAGCTTTGGTGGAGCGTCTGATCGGGAAGCACAATTTTTTTCCACGTAAAAAATGGCACACATGTATTCTTGAGAAAATTGTGTATGGGATACATTCTAGCAAACCAGAATGGTGCAGTTTTATAAATGTGACATTTCTACTTTTATGTACGTTTACAAGTTATTTCTTTAACATGTTCTGCTTATTACAAGATGCCAATGTAAGAAGGTGAATCTTCCTGTCACGAATATATTTGTTCCTGTTTAAATTTTCAGCCACAGACCAAATAACCCGATTTGTTGCTGAAACAATTCTGACACAATCGAATATAAATAATACCGAAATTTTACTGAAATTTTTACTTAAAAAAAAAGAAAACGAAAACATGTAGAAAAGAGATGAGTCCAATGAACCACATCCAACAAATATCTTCAAACAAAGAAACAAAATACAAGAAGGCTACAGACATTTTCCAGCAGCTCTCTCTCTCCTCCCCAACACATAACCAAAGTAAACCAAAAGCATTTGGACTTCTGTGAAAGTGTAAATAACATACATAGTATTTTCAACTTCCATAAAAATTCTCCTCTTTTACCACTAGTTGATGTAACTAGGAAGGAGATATTTCTTCAACACCATTTTGTCTCTGCAAGTTTTAAACAAGGAACCTCAAAGCTGAAATAATGCTGTCTGTAGCAAGGTAGGGAATTAGGGGTGCGTACCCTAACCACAGCACAGGGCACTGAAATTCATGCTAGGTGGGCTCCAGCCGCAAAAGAGAATGGTAACTACATTCCAAAGCGGTGCCTGTTCAGACCCTAAAGAATCAGCACGGTTTCCACTCATTAGACGCCATGTACTGTGTCTGCAAACTAGAAGGAAAAACAATCACACCTTCAAAAGCTTCCTTAGGAATCGCCAGCGATGCTTGACAATTTTTTAAAATACATTTCAAACATAATCCAAAGTAACCTCATCTCTTAATATTACTGCGGTTTTCCTGAGAAAGCGTCCTGCGTGCCTGAGAGCCAAACTTGCAGTCAGCAAAAGTACCAACTTTTAAAAACCAGGATAATTCCTATTTTGCAGAAGTCAATTCAGACCCAATGAAATCATTTTATAGTGTGTAAGAAGAAAGCTCTCGCCTCAAAAATTAAGGGGAAAGCACTTCCCAAATGACTTTACAACTGACTTCTGTGATCTCGCTATGTTATTTCACATAAATTTAAATTTGACTGGGAGTAGAACATCTGGTGACAGCAGGGCTGCTCAGAAGTGTCCCATGCCGGCCTGGTGCTGCACCTGTGAGTACAGACCCAAGTGGCAGAGGCTCTGACAAAAGTCAGTGTTGTCACTGTCCTCGGAAAGGAGAGGCGGACCTGAGCGACACCAGGGATTACGAATTTTAGCATCTTGTCTTTTCTTCTTTCCTATTCTTTCTTTCTTCTTCTTTTTCTTTAATCCACCAGTCACCCCCACGTTTTCCTATTGAAATTCAATTTGAAAACACTCACGTGGATCTGCGCGTTGCGCTTTGGGGGCCAAGATTGATCCTCGGGCTCGAAGAGCAACCTCGCTCGGAGCCGCGGCTCCCTCTGCCCTGCCGGGCTCGCCGCCCGGGTCGTCCGCCTCGCCGCCGCTGCGCGTCCCGCCGCCGCTGAGCGTCCCGCCCGGGCTTGGCTGCGCTCCGCGGGGATCGAGAGGGGCTGTCTCCGCGGTCGCCGCCCTGGGCGCGGGCCGCGCAGGCACTTGTTAGAGTGCCCTGTTAACTTGGCCGCGGAGCTCTTCCCAGCTTTCTTTCACAATGACTTCCTGAAGTTGCTCACTCGCATTGTTCCCCATTTCTCCGCCACATCCCCGCCCCCCGTCGGCGGAGACCCGGCTTTCGCTCTCCCGGCCGACCCGCTGCCCCGCGCGCACAGCGCCGCCCGCGGGCCGCGCACCTGGCCCCTCAGCGCAGGCGGCCCCCGCCGCGACAGCGCGTCGCCACCTGCGGCCGCCCCGAGCGGCGGGTGGCCCGAGCGCGCGCCCTGCGCTCAGTAAACTTTGGGGTGACACACGCTTCCTGTTCCCCGCTCCACTTGCCCCGCAGCCCGCCGGGCTCCGCACGCACGTCCCCGCCGCCGGTCTAGCCGCTTGCGGACGGGGAGCTGGGAGCGGAGAGGAAAGAAGAGGGGCGCGCCGTCCCGTCCCTGCCCCCACCTCCGGGTCCCCGACACGCGCGGCGCCCGTCTGGACCGCAACTCCGGGCCAGCGGGGTCGCTCGCACAAACTTTGCAGCCTCGCGGGGCTCCGGCCCAGCCCCCCAGGGTCGCAGGGGCGGCGGCGGACGCGGGCCATACCTGCAGGCGCCGCCGCCGGCCGCAGCCCGCTCGCCCTCGCCGGGCCCGCTCGGCGCGCCGCCGCCACCCCCGCGCTCAGCGCGCCCGGGCCCTCCCATCGCCAGGGCGCTTCCTGGTTCCAGCGCAGCATCGCGCCTCGGCCCCGCGCGGGATGCGGCGGCCAGTGCTCTGCCCGCGGGCCTGGCGCCCAGCTCGGCCGCGGCGCTGCGGGACCCGCGCGTAACCCGTGGGGGCGCGGCGCGGGCTACATGTGCGGGCCCGCCGCGAGGGGGAGGAGACGCGCGCCGCCGGGCCCGCCACCCAGAGCCCGGAGCCGCTGGTCGGTCAGGGCACCGTATGTCTGGCTCTGCGAGGGGAACTCGGGGGACTCGGGGCACCATAAGACACTTTCCCCCACTATCTGGGAACGCCCGCTGCACGCGCAGCTTTAAGTCCCCGGAACTGGGGTCCCTTGGCTCCCAGGTTCGGGCTTCGGCCCGGATTAGAGTGCCCACCGAGGGGGTGGGAAAAGTTGATCCACCGCAAGGGAGGGGAAGGTGCAATTCATTTTCCCAAGCAACCAATGGAATACCTCTTGTCTCTCTTCCCTCCCACCTGCTCACGGCAGAAGTTAGGATGGCGCCTTCCATCTTGGCCTGTGTGCACACTCAGTGTGGAAGGGCGGCTGCGGGCGGAGGAGACGGCTAGGCAATCCAGCAGCCCCGCTCCACAGCTCCTCACACCTCAGAACTCTCCCTCGCGTGTAAGACATCGTGTATCTCGGTGAAAACGGGAATGCCACCTTTGACAGCGCGCCCCTTCTCACTCTACCCCCCATTCTGATTAGCAGGGCTCCCCTCGAGCAGGAGCCAGGCAAGTGTGTTCAGCTTCGTCAGGAGAGAATCATAAATTCAATAAACGTAGCCTGGGTCCCTTCCAGGCACTAGGGAGGGGATCAATAGGAGTGGAGTGGGTCCTCTGCCCCTCTAGACTCAGCAGTAAGGCACAAAATAGGCCGGAGCACCCAGGCCTGTGGGTGGGCAGACATCGTGCTCAGGGAATGACTTCCTGCAGTAAAAGGGAAGAAGGGCTCTGTGGCTTCCAAAAGGTAGGATTTGCCGGCACAGATGAAGACACAAGCTTTCCAGGTGGAGAGAACAGACAGGCAATGGGAATAAGCAAGAAATGTCACTTCAGGACAGTTGATTGTGACTGTGGTCGGGGGCTGCCTGGGAAGGCTGTGGCCTGGCTGAGGAGGCTGCCATGTCGGGGCCTGTGCCTCCCAGTAGTGGCTCTGCCCCTGTCATCCCTCCAAGTTCCTTCTGCCCACCGAGAACCATAAAAGCCACCTAGCCGAATTCTTCAAGGACCACTTACATAGTACTCAATCGGTGCTGAAAGACATTCAGCTGTGCCCCGCCTGAACCAGTAAACTCCCTGCTAAAGCCCAGAGGAGGTGAGACTAGTAGGAAGTCCACTGGTTTAATTCCTAGTCCTCCCTCCACTCTGAGACCTTGGGCAAGTAATGGAAACTCCTGAGCTTTATTTATCATCCTCATCTGTAAAAGGAATGAATGTGGCTAAGCCTGAAGAGATTTTGTCAGGACTTACCTTGAGTAAAGTAATATACATAAGCTGCGAGGCTGGGAGGGAGTAAAGGGGGCAGTATTAGAAGTATTAGAAGCAGAAGCGCCTTGAGCCCCCAGTGTCCCTCTAAGCGTGAGCTTTGTTCCCAAGAAACAGACTCAAACGTGGTCTCTGGGGTGTAAACATTGAGGCAGTAGTATATAGGACTAGGAGTCCAGATAGTTTGGATTTGTGATTGTGACTGAGGGCCTTTACCTCCCTATGCTTCGGTGTACTCATTTGTAAGTTGATGGTAATAATATCAGCTTCCTCCTGGGATTATCTGGGGGTAAGTCGGTCATATATGGAAGATGGTGCCATGTTTCTATAGGTAGGGAGGGGAACTCTGTAGGGAGGTGGGATTCACTATTAACCCTCCCACCCCCCACTCTAAGCAGGTAGGGCTGAAGGAACTCGGTTTGGAAGATGGGCTCTGTGGATAGGGTAGACTTGGTAGGACCAGAGATGTCACATAAATCAAGTTGAAGTCCCAAAAAACAGTAATAAATAAAAGTCCACTGGAGGGAAACACGGTTAGGGAAACTGAAACATACGATGCATGTGATACTAGATTTTTTTTTCCATTTTATGTCTAAAGTCATTTTGTTTCATTTATATATTAATTATACATATTCCCCTTTTAATAATGTTAGAATGTTAAATAAAATATAGCTTACTTTATTCAGGCAATATTTGCTAAATTATCAATTCTTCTCTCAAGATTGTATTATCAGAAGAATAAATAACACCTATATAATTAATCAAATGCTACTTATTCAGTGCTTACCATAGTAAGGGAGTCAACCAGGCACTGTTATTCAGGAAGGGCTGGAAGGGATTTTCAAAGAAGAGAAAGTTTTATGACGTAAAAGGGTGATTGAGGTGATATATGTGGTCGATATGGCTAATAGATTTGTTTTTTACTGTGTGAGTTTTCAGCAAGTTATACTCTGAGCCTCAGTGTCCCATCTGCAGGGCATACTTACTTCATAATGGTATAGATAGAATTGTGTGAAATTAATTATGTATGGAAGTAGTTATTATTTTAACCGTATTTTTCTTCAATTTTAAAAAATAGGTTAAACATTAATTAAATAGGCATCAGTTTTTCCTCCAGTAGTTGAGAAATAGCAAAGATATTTTTAAATAACAGGAAAACTTTTTTTGGTTAAAAAAATAGAAGTTGATGATTGTTTTTCTATAGTGTTAACCTAAGAGAACTCTTGCAGTTCCATCTGAAAAGGAGTGAGAGGAGAAGAAAGACCCAGGACAGATGAAACTGTTGTGACAAAGACACTGCCTCTTTGGTTTCTTCTTCCCAATTTTCATGACTTCCAGCTTCTGCTTCTGCTGGTTTTGAAAACAAACGGTTGCTTGCCTGGAGGAAAGTTCTGGATGTCCTTTGGGGGGCCTACCTCTGTGGTTTTGACTCTTTCTGTATGTGCAGACCACTGGCTCCCACCCACTGTTGGAGGTAGAAGGACCAGGACACAGGAAAGGGGTAGAGGGGCTCATGGAGAGCCAGGGCTCTCTCCCGGCAGTGCAGGCAGACAGCCTGGGCAGGAAGCACCTGGTGAGCCCTGAAGGACAAATCTCTGGGTGCTTTGTTTCCTGCGATGTCTGCAAGGCCCTGTCTTGGCTCCTGGTTCTGAAACCTACAGAAGTTTATTAGCACTGCCAACCATTCTCATCTCTGCCTGTAGGTTTTCAACCAAGGATGTGCCACAGCTGACATCAAAATTCTTCCCACTTCTTTATTCCCTTTGGTATTTGTAAGAGAAATGTGCTTAGATTCTCAAAAACAGCAAACTTTTATTAACCAAATTTGCTTAGTAGAGATTCAAACATAAACTGAGTCAAAGGTAGTGATTTGGAGAAGACAGACTTACCCAAAAAAGTTTTCTGATGAAAAATTTATGAAAATGGGTTGGGTAAGTAGATAACTCATTTAACCTATATAGATCAGAATACAGAAAAACAAGAGCTGTGTGTCACCCCCATTTGATTTTATTAGATAAAAACAGGATCAGAACACTATTTCTGGAAGTATAAAAACTTCTAGTGGCAGGTATTCATTCATTTATCCAGCAAGCACATCTTTATGGAAAGCTTACCCCTGAGGGTGGTGCTTGAGACACAAGTACTCACAAGAAAGCCTAAGATATGCTCTAGTCTCTTAAGGGCCTCACGTTTTAGTGAAGCAGGTAGACAACAAATAATTTCATTTTGATGCAAAATGTGTCACCTTATAGTCAGACCCAATCCTTATAAAACACAAAGGATGGTGCTAAGTAGTTGCTAGGGCTGGGGATGTTTTGTGGAACTGGGTGGAGAGAAGAGTGGCTTTTCTGCCCCACATCCTGGTAGTATCCTGGAAAGATCTCTCTCAAATGACAGAATGAACCAAAGACTAATAGAATATTGTAACGACCAGCCCCGTCGAGCCCAGTTCTGTGATGGACGTTTCCAGGTAACATCTCCCTATCTAATGATGCAGCAAAGTCAGCACCGTTACCCATTTTAAATGAGGACCCTAAAGCTCAGAGGGTGACTAGCCCTGGATTGGTAGCTGGGCTGTGAAGTAAGACTCTGGGGCCAACATGTTAGTATTTGTTAGCTCTGCAAGTTACCAGGCCTCTCCATGCCTGTTTCCTCCTCTGTAAAATGAGATGACTACTGTGTGACAACAGCAAGAATCCCTTCCTTAGGAATGTGTGAAGTCTGAATGAGTTACTGCACATTCAGGATGCTGCAGTGGGCCCCTGGCATGTCCGTGGTACACTACTAAGCCCTGGCTAGGTGGAAGGGCTGGGGTATGAAACTTGTCCAGTTATTTCAGCCATGCCTCTGCCTTTTCTTTTTAAATTACCTTTCAGACCCTGATGGCTCCTCCTCATC